CACATTTCTAATACACTATCATTGTTTATCCCATATACTACCTCACCTGTTCAAATACACCACTGTTAATACCACCAATACTACTATCAAAACTTCGTTGTAGTGTATTCCAAAGCATAGTTACAATTCATTACTCACCAATCTATTTCAGTCAACATTATATTCATCTGTCAAATTGTACTGCTTCCACATAACAATGATTCAAGATTAGTAATTAGAATTGTCGTCTTCTTTTTCATTAGAGCTATTAACATATTCACATGTATTTCATGAACAAGGCCATTAATAATATTAACGATAATCATATTATCCAGAAGACTCCATATTGTTTGTGTTTTCTAGATGACTTATGTTGTGGAAATTGATGGTACTCTGATGGTACACATAAAGTACACACCGACACACATGCATAGTTCACAACCGTACGGATGTATACAAGTGCATATGTGTAGCGTTTGTGAGTTCCATAAGGGTTTTCGGAAGAATTTCTCGTTCCAAACTGATTCCACTTTATGTTGTTTGCACACATAAAGATACATGACCAACAAGTATAGAATGATGTACAATGTACTAATAACAGTGATAATATACATTATAATTAGGTTTTTCTCTTTACTACTACAACTAGTGATAATGTTATTAACAGTAAGTAATTACACTAATTGTTTACATTCATTTACACATAAACGATATTAAGGATCGACAGAGGAGAGAAGGATACGGTGACATTTTAAGTTGGAATACTGAAGAAATATTTTTATGTCTCTCTGTGTGTATGCGTGTGTATTTAGGTGAGTGAATGTGAAACTTCTAAAAGAGTGCAGCGTTGTGTAAATCATTGCAACACAAGCATAATTTATTTGTTCTAACTGAACTATAAAACAGGTTAACATCAAATGTTAAATTGTGTTGTCTATTAAAGTGGATAATAATGTTTGAAGTTGGTCAGTGATATAGTACATACTCACACTATGTTACATCTACATAGTATGAAATGTGATTAACTTTAGTACCCTCACTGATAACATGAGAGTTTCTGTTCCCTGTATCCTACTTTTAGACGTTGGTATTTTCCCTTAGTAATAATAGAGACGTGTATAATTTATTATTTGATATAACGCATGGAAATTAACAAATAAAGTAGGGAATTATTTATTATGTTGAAACATCTAAATAGTTTGTTTATTTCTCATACTTCGTATTGTGAACGAAGTACTTCATTTAGAAGTAAAATTCCTATTATTATTGATGTTCTTACTGTATAATGTTAAGATAAGATGGTGGTTGGAGGTGTCGAGCCACCTAGACTAGTGGCCACATTACATTCGATCAGCACTAAGGACTTGACACGCATGACATTGATCACCACCCAATGATCAATCAATTGTGACTGTGTAATGTTATTTTCGACTCCGTATATTTAGAAAAAAAAACATGCATCTTTTGGAAGAGTACCATTATTTCATATCTATCTATCGGTCACGTCCATAAATCTTAAATTCAATAGTTGAGTTCAATTGAAGCTAGACTATCATGGAAAACTTGGAAACACTGGATGGGCTGTTTCGTCCTAGTGTAGGACTCCTTATCGATGTGCACTCATGACTTAACCATAGATAGAACCTGGTGCTTCCTGATTTTTAATAGTGGTCTAATTAAGATCTGTTTGTGATGCAAACTATTGATAGCTTAACAGTCTCAGCTTGTAATTTACATCATAAAATTATTTGTTAAGCACTTATTGGGAACCAGAATGTTATGAGCAGCTGTATTGTCCTAGTGTGGAACTTTACAACAAAGTAATAACTCGACATCTCCGGTCTATAAAGTTAAAATAAAATGATTTTCAACTTAAATAAAGGGCAGTAGAATATTTTCAATAAAACACCATCCAAGACAAATTTATTACTGTTGAATACGGAACGAAAGTGCCTTGAAACAGTTTCACTACAATAATTATTTTCCGTACGCAAATGCAGTAGTTACATTTTAGTGATGTTTTTCCTAATTAATAATTATTCTTATGTATACTTTTCATGTAACACTATAATTATCAAACTGAATATTAGTTTCAATACCAAGTTCTGCGTTTCATATGTGTAATATTTTGATGACATAGTGATTGCATTGAGCATACTGGATGAGTTTAAAAAAACCCGGCTATTACTGATATGAAGAGCCAATTAGAAGTAGCTTAATGTGAAGGCCAAACGATGATCTAAAGGGTAAGTGTATTTCATTGGCTAAGAAATGGATCAGTTTCCTAAGGATTATAGTGGTATATATATATATGAATGAGTATCTGTGCATTTTATTCGGTAGCCCAATGCACCTACTCGCTCACTCTTGCGTTTGCATCCAAGTAGTCAGTTGGGTGATTAGCGCGTAGCACACCATCTATCAGCATCAGATTTTGGACAACACCCGTCACAACAGTTACATTTTGAGTTTGTTCATTAGTAGAAATGACTAGACATCACAAGGGCAATACTGAGATGTAAAGTGGTGGTTAGAAGTAGTCGACAAGAAACCTTGGACACAAATTCGCTGCTGTTTAGTTAATCGCGGTCTAAATAGCTCAGTGATAACGTCTCTAAATGTGAGGCTGATTGACACGAGATCAGATCTGCCAGGGTGCTTCAGTTCTCTCTAGATAACAGATATTCCTTGCTAATGAGTACCATATATCATAACACATTGGCTCAGGGTTTTCCGTCGACTACCTCCAACCACCAACTTACATTTGAAAATGCTGATAATTGTTCTAAATTACTCTAAAAATTCACGTCATTGAGAATCTAAAACCACTAACGTGATGGGAACAATAGTTGAAATAACTAAGTAATTGATTTGAATTTCAATGGTCGGTACTTCAATAATTTGAAAAATGCATTACCACAGCGTGGTTTAGAGATATCTTATTCTCTATGTCTTAGGTTCAAACCTGTGTTGGAGGTAATAAATATATAATTTTAAAAACTTCTAAGCTTGTATGAAACATACGTTCAATGTCCCATCATTTTCTAGTTGGTATCAGCCAATGATGAAAATTATCTTTAGTTTACAGAAAATCTTCAACACCTCATTAACATTATATTATTAAGTTGAATGAATAACATATTAGTATTGAAGTCAAACGGTTTAATATCACAATTCAATGAAAAAAATTTACTTGATTCTTTATTACATAAATATATCAGAAGAGGTTTTGTGGATATTATAGTGATTTTATTAGTTGAGATCATGAATCAATTGAACCTAGATCAGCATGGAAAACCTGGAAGCACTGTACGGCTGTTTCGTTAGATGGCAGCTCAGTGGTCTAGTGATTAAGCGCTCGCTAGCGAGACTGATAAGTCCTGGGTTCGAATCTCACGAGGCGGGATCGTGGATGCGCACTGCTGAGGAGTCCAACAATAGAATGAAACGGCCGTATAGTGCTTCCAGGTTTTTCATGGTGGTCTAGCTTCAATTGATTCATGATCTCAACTAATAAAATTACATAAATATATAATGATGGATTCGATGAAGTCACTAATATATATGAAATAATAGTGTGACTTCAATAATCATTTTCATGATAGACATTTTATTTTGATCCCAAGTGAAATATAAACGATAACATCTTTTTTAAAATTAAAAAAAAAGACTGTTAGCAAGTGTTAAAAATAAATAAACATAATACACATTTGAAAGGTAATCTATTCAGACACTGTAGTTTCTATGATACTAAGTAAGAACTATGGAGGATTTGATTTTATGTTGTTTTACTTCAATGGTACATACACCACCTAAAAATCTTTTTTTCAAAAAAAAAATGAAGATTTGGCTTAATGTATTAATTTGTCAGTTTCTAAGATCAAGCCATAAAGTAAAGTATCATTTAATTAATTAAGTATAGATTTAAACACTTAATTTTGAGTTTTAATAATTGTGTACATATTAGTAATACTACCCAGCTTCTGCATTTAGAATTACTGAAATGCGTCTTGAATGGTTCCGTGAGTTTTCTTAATCATTGATTGTAAAAGAAATTCAATAAGTGTACAGTAACTGATGAGCTTATAAGTGTCAATGCCAAGTCTGGGCTTGATAGTTTCAAATACATTGTTACTTACTTACGCCTGTTACTCCCAATGGAGCATAGGTCATCGACCAGCATTCTCCAATCCACTCCGTCCTAGGCCTTCCCTTGTAGTTCTATCCAATTTTTGTTCATTCTTCTCATGTTTGTCTCTATTTCTCGGCGTAATGTGTTCTTTGGTTTTTCTCTTTCTCTTTGGCCTTCAAGACTCCATGTGAAGGCTTGCCTTGTGACGCAGTTGGGTGATTTATTCAATGTGTGTCCTATATATATTTTTTGTCATATCCCAATGAGTATAAAAGTTGAATTCCTGACGTTTCATGATTTACTATGAAGAAGTGGCTTACATTAAGTCACGACACGTTAGAAATACAAATTTTCTATTCATCGAGATATAATACAATATATTTTTATTATTAAGTGTACAGTAAGTTGATTTTGTTATTGATAATGAGATTTAGGAACTAAACTGAAATGATTTCGAAACGTTAAATCTAAAACTTTTTGAATTTTGAAAAATTCGGTGTGCTAATTCAATCGAATATGTCTTGAAAGTAAGTGAAGACTTGATGAGAAAAAGCCTAAGGTCTTGAATTTTTCAGACGAAAATTTAGCTACTTATGAGTAGTATGAACGTATTTAACAAAACTATGGAAAATACGTTCGGTCAAGGAATATTTCTGTTAGTCTAATTCATAATACTGATGACTATATAATGCAATATATCAAACCGCAATGTACCACAACATATACATAAATAATTTGGAGTAAACTACACATGAGAATGACTGATAATTTCTGGATTAGGCTACAGATTTGGTGTAGAATTGTAAACAAACTAATTTTACTTATTCTAACTGGAAGTCTAGATAGAAAAGTGCTCGCCAGATTACCTTCAAAAATCTAACACACAAATTTTAACAAAAGAGGTATACTTGTAAATGGGGTAACAAAATAAGGGGAAATGAAAAAGCACAAATTTACAAAATACATAGTTTTTCTGTACAAATGCATTTTATGAGATGACGTTAAGAGAGTTTTGATAAGACATGCATATTACAAGAGCAAGAACAATCAGATTTATTAGGAAACAACTCGGAGGGATACTTCGGAGTGACCAAACCACATGTATGTCTTTGACAGGAAGAACAAGCAGTAGAACAACCACTTGTGGAAGACGTTTGACGTTCGTTGCGAGAATCCTTAACATCGGCTGATATAATATGGTTGGAGTGAGTTGTTATATAACCGGTTCGACTCAAATTAATATTATTGCACCTGACAAACAAAAGTTAGTTCTTTTTTAAAAAGAATAATAGTTATTTAAATAACAAAAAAATTACATCTAAAAATAATTGTAGAAGCTTCTACAAAAGGAAACAACAATACTATGTTGGGCAGTATAATGAATAAAATTGCGAGTCAACTGATATTTTATTTACTTAACAATAAATCAAATGAATTATTTAAGATAGTAGCCGGCTCAGATGACAATTCAGTAAAAACTAGACTGAAGAGCTTTCGCACAGAATACAACAGACAGTTTGGATGCAACTACACGATTCAGACTTCGCAGATGACCTAGCTCTCCTATCCCAAATATACCAGCAAATTCAGTCAATGTAGCACCAGACTCTGGAGAAGTACTCAACGTACAAAAGAAAACCAAGATCTACAAATACAACACAAAGAACACCATACCAAACACACTGGATGGTGAAGCTCTCAAACATGTGGAAACTTTCACATATCTGGGCAGTATCATTGATGGACAAGGAGGATTTGATGCAGATGTGAAGGCAAGGATTGGAAAAGTAAGGACAGCATTCCTACAACTGGAGAACATATAGGATTCAAAGCAACTGTCAACCAACACCAAATTGGAAATCTTCAATACGAACGTCAAGACAGTTGTACTGTATGGTGCTGAAACTTTGAAAACCAGCACAACCATCATCAGAACAGTGCAAGTATTTATGAACAATTGTCTACGTAGGATATTCAATGTCCGTTGACCCGATATCGTCAGCAGAAACCTACTGTGGGAGAGAACAAACAAGCCTTTAGCTGAAGAGGAAATTAGGGAACACGTTAGAGGTGGGTTTGATATATATTATGGAAATCATCAAAGTGAACCACGGGGCAAGTCATAACTTGGAGTCCTGAAAACAAAAGGAAAAGAGGAGGACTAAAGAACACATTACGCCGGGAATCCAAGGCAGACAACAAAAGAATGAGTAGCAACTGAAAAAGACTGACCAGGATAGAATTCTATGGAGAAAGTTGGTGGGCAGCCTATGTTCCTCCACTAGGGGTAACAGGCGTAAAGAAGTAAATAAATAGCTTTCAGTAGGTTTATGAACTTAAGTGGTACCTCTTTCTACAATAGATACTGGTTGTCCGTAACTGGAATCGGACATAACCTTCATGTCAAGAAATAATACTGTAATCGGGAGTCGGTAAGTATTTCTATGTTCCTAAACCTGTTTAAAGGGAGAATAATTGATTTATACATTTGTGGACAGGTTTGAAACTAATCTGGTTTTTCGGACTAACTGTTCACAAGGTCTAGCTCGGTGTGGTATGATCTTAACACTAAGTAGCACTCTACATTTTTATTGCTGGAATTCTGTGAAACGAACTAGTATAAAACTAACTACTCTAAATCAGTCGACTGCAAATGGATACAAATATTCCCTATAAATTAGTACGAAAAAGATATCACTTCAGATGGACACAATTGTTGAAATATTACTATCAGTGATATGAGAGGTTTTAAATTTAGAGGTTCAATTAATTGATTTCTTGACAACGAAAGTAAAACTGTTATCATGTAAAAGTTGATTGATGTGTTTAAAATATTCAATTACATTGGGACATACAATTACCAAGAATAATAATCTAATAGTTGTTCGACCATTAACTGCTTTTCTTTAAAAAACTAATCACTGCATATAAGGTAATGCAATTTCAAGAATACACTTACTTAGGAGTAGAACAATACTTATCGTGGTATAGTTTAAAACTGCATGAGCATGATAAGCTCGGATGTGAGGGACACGCTATTGTGAAGCGATTGTTGATATCTTCCTCACAACGATGGGCTATCGATGAGCAACATGATCGGTGTCCAGATGAAGTAAAACCGGATGATGCATACTTTGAGACGTCACACTTATGTTGAGAGACAGAGTCTTTGTTTAGCCTCAAATTAATTAATGGATCACATATATCGGAAGATACTGGAAATGTTTGTACAGTTTGTGTAGCTTTACAAGATGTCGTTTTCCTTTCTCTACTATTTACGTCGGAAATCTCAGGTGAACTTCCAACTTCATGAAACTAAAATAGAAATGAAAGTGAAAGATAAGCTAGTTTCAATGAATGCATAGATAATGGCGGTGTGGATCTGTTGCTTGGAAAAAGACTTCTCGACCTTGAGTATGAGGATGAGATTGTCTTATTGTGTGATGATACCCAAACTATGCAATCTGCACTTAGTCAGTTGACAGTTAGTGTCTGTAGGTACGGTATATGCTTTACACTTTCGAAGTGCAAAGTACTCCTACAAGACTGGCAGGATTCTCATCCTGTACTCACCCTGGATGGTGAGCAGATTGAAGTAGTTGAGAAGTCCGTGTATCCAGGTAGCTATATAAGTGCTGGTGGTGGCGTGAGTGATGAGATTGATGCACGTATAAGGAAAGCCAGAGCGGCTTATGCCAATCTGGGCCATCTTTGGCGCCTTCGTGATCTTAGTCTGGCTGTAAAAGGTCGGATTTACAACGCGTTGGTGAGAGCAGTTTTGCTCTATGCTTGTGAAACCTGGTCTCTCCAAGTTGAGGATGTTAGATGTCTCTCTGTGTTCGATCATCGTTGTCTCCAAAAGATTGCTGACATTCAGTGGCAACACCATGTTAGTAATGCAGAGGTTCGGCATCGTGTGTTCGGGCGCCGAGACGATAATTCAATTGGTGTCACCATCTTGAAACACCGACTTCGGTGGCTTGGACATGTTTTACGAATGTCGTCCCAGAGACTTCCACGTCGTGCATTATTTGCCGACGAAGCTGGGGCCAGATGAAAAAAGCGGAGAGCTGTTCAGTGTATGGCATGGTGTCGTGATATGAAAGAAATCTGTACAGGACTAACTCCTGTTGGTCCTTCACGACTCCCTGGTCGAGGTCCCAGAGATGGTGCAACGCAGTGGCTAGAGACGTTATCGGATATGGCTAAAAATAGAAGTCAGTGTCGACCGTGCTGTAACTTTCTTTTACTTTCTTCACACAAAACGGATGTAACTTCTTTATCGGGAAGAATTCTTTCTGGTTGTACCTTTGCTAAATGAAATGCTTCTTCCATTATTATTATTTCACTATTATACGCTCATTTATGTTCGTTATTGTTCCTATTTTTCTTATACGCATTTTACATTCCCTATCTCTTCACATTCCGATCGTTATTGTGTGGCGCATTTGTATTTGGTGCCCTTTCGTATTAGTATTTATGTGTTCAAATAAATAAATAAATGAAATGGCAAAACTTGTCTTTGACAAGCGTAATTTAGTACATTGAATAAAAGTACCCAATATTAGGTAGTTGCATAAACTGGTAGAAAAATACATACGACCAACATGTCATATCTTATGACACGAAAACGAGATCTGTGTTCTAGCACTACAAAACAAACCTGAAAAACTGTTAAGGAACTTTTGGCTCATCAAACTAGAAGTTAACACGAGCTTTTGTGTTGTTTACTAAATGACAATTGAAACTTGGCAGTCCAGTTATAATTTTATTGAATGATTCGTGCTAAGTCAAAGTTAGAAACTGATAAAAGTGAAATATCCACCGTACGGATATAAGATGGGAAGAAACATGTTCTACATTTTATTGTTTACACAACCATTATAGTGTGTAACAAGTTACATCGAAACTAAGTCTAAAACAAAAATCTGACAAGAAAACTGATCGGATTCCCTTGATCTAAACAGAAAATAGTTGATCATATGTTGACTATAATAACATAAATGAAAGTTGGCTTTGGTTAAGCAATATCTTAAATGTGTTCTATAAAGACCCAGCTAATACTACAAAATGAGGTCACTGACTCACAAATCTTGTAAAGATACATTAACAATCACATACGAACTAAAAGATTTTGATTTTCGTCAAATTTACAAGTGAAATCAGAAGGATTTTACCAGGAAGTTAACCTAATTAGAAATTGATATACTAAGCTCATGAAATCATATCATGAACTAAGATATTCAATGTTATTTAGAAGTATAGTAAATATCTACTAAAATAAGACAATTTATTTACTGGTCACGTGTCAAACTTAGTAAACAAGGTGTCATTTCCCAAGAACTTAATTTCATACGAGTAAGTTTAAAGGGAATCGAATGATGTCCCGATTTTTCTATATCTTATATGGGCCGATCTAAGACCACAGACACTATATGTACCGACACTGATAAAACCTGCGAAAAGGGATCAAAACTTAAAACTTACAGAATTGTCATATATCCTGCGTTCAAATCGAACAGCAGTGAGTAATTTGGTAATCATACTATCCATACCAAGGAGTAAATCTCTCTGCGTATCACTGGACATTGCTATAGAACTTTTGTACACTCCATAAACCAACAATCTAAAACAGGAATAGTTCACGACTCAGCATTTAAATAACACTTGTATCAAAGATATATATTGAGAGATAATTTAAGACGAAGAAAGCCAACCATAAATTTTAGCTAGGCAACATAACTCAGCAATTAAAGGTTTATGTATGAGGCTGTGGTTTGTAACCGATGTATGGGAACTAATGATGTTACCGAGCTGCCTAGACCACGGTATATACATTGTTTTGGGTCTCCAACAACAGATAATTGAACTCGGTCTAAACTATGAAATAAAACTAATAATTGTGTGAATATTTCCGGTGTGATGTGGCCCAATGATATCAAATTGTTTTGTAGGCTAATAATCACTGCTCAATGAGGCATTATCTAAAATGACTGCTCGCTGATTTATAAATTATTCAATCTGCATTATTTAAAAGCAGCACAAAGTACATACGACTGGAAATAACTACGGATGGACAAGCTCTAATTTATTGATTAAACGCGAGTAAGTGAGAAACGACAGACTAGTTCCGAGGATTTTCACTAAACAGATATCTAATCATACTGGAAACTACTTTTGGATGGGTTAGACTATAAAGTCGACTAAACTCATCATATAAATTTAATACACTCATAATTGCCAAGTCGAGATTTGTAACAAGTTTGCAGCTAACCTAACAGGATAGATATATTGCTTTAGTTTATCTCACTCAGTTGTATACTGGTAGTGGAGATTGGAAAGATTTGAAATACATACATGTTTAATACATGCAGAACATCTGGTTATTTAGAATATCCTTGAACTGGTACTCATAACGGCAAAACTACTGGGAAAATAATCTCAACGCACAAAATATCCTTCATTTAAGAACTAAAATAGCTCATGCATTCAACAGTGAATATGTACACATTTATGTAACAAGAAATGATGTGAGATTCGGTAAATATATAATAGAAAAGACCTATCACGACGAAAAAACTTCGAACAAAAACGGTCGTTACATTTTTTTCAACGTTAATGATACTACACATGTGGTATAAAAACACCAAAGAATTTCTTTAGGTCAACTTTTGAACAACTATATTTCTTAAAAAAAATCTAAGTCATCTTCATACTAGAGCAAATAAAACAAAAGTATCACTGATAGAGGGTTTGTCTTTTAGATAATAATGCCACATATAGATAGTATAATAAGCCTAACAAAACAGACCCAAATGAACACACTATTATAACAAACCATACAAACACAAAGCCCGCCAGTGTTCAATAAACCCGCTTTCATAGTGCTTTTCTTATTGCCAGTTGGAATAACACATGAGGAAAACCAAAGTCTCTAAAGTAAACTGATATCAATAAAGGGATTGAAAGTTTTCTACCTGTCTGTATAAGCAATATCTTCAGATATCAGTGGTGCGTAAATATTATAAAAGGCCTTGAACATCCCCGGAAATATTCGTACAGGACCAGTCCTAATACAAAACTTGAAAGGAAACCGCAAAATTTAAGCTTCTGGTTAATCAGGGGTAATAGTGAACATAATTTCTACCCTTTAGGAGCGATAAAGTGCAGGGATTTTATACTGTCGAAAATGGTCGACCCAACATATCGAACTCATTGGTATTTCTTCCTCGAGACTAAATATAGTACCTCGTGTAAATGTATTCGTGTTTGTGGTCACACACTTTTTTTATAGCAAAATAAATTCACCGTTACTATGCATGAAAGTGTTTTATCAGAAGAACTGTTGGTTTCTGTGACTGCAAAGCTGCCGAATGATGAAAGACAGATTCAACGAGGTTTATTCCCTTTGTTATAGAGAAGGACTTGAGGGCCGAAATGCCTTCGTTTTTATTATCTTTCAAGTAACAGAACTTGTGGGTACACTTTAAAACTTCCACAGGCCTAGAAAAAATTGGGTGGAATGCTTACGTTCTTAACACTTGATTAACTCATCATTTGCCAACGCTCTCTAGACAAACTTGAGTCAATTACAGGACTCCCGCTACTATAACAAAGAAAGTCAGCCTAGCCTCTTGTTCTTACCAAGCTAAAATTTTTACCATGACCATTCACTCAGGTTGAGGAAGATCACGTCTTTCGAATCTAAAGCATCAACTGACTATATATGAACGCCCAAAGTTTACAGAAAAAAGTGGATGCATTGCGCGAACTAAGTAACGGTGAAAACACTCATGTCGTAGAAATATCTAAAGCATTAGCATCTGAAACTACAGACCAGGAGCTAACAGTACTCGGCATGTCTTTGTTCTACAATAGCAATAAGACAAGAATGGGGGCGGAGGGACTCTGTATTTACGATCTGGCCTGGTAGCAAAAACTTTAGTGTGCAGTCAGTAGCTTATCAATCCTGGCTAATATGTGAGGTGCTCAGCTAGATTGTCAAACATCTCGAGATTTCTAGTTAAAAATATCTACAGGAAGCCTACAGTTGTCACTGAATAGCGCTGTCGTATGCTGGAGAAACTGCCACTCTCTATTCGTCTCAGATAAACGCATATCCTGACTCCATAAGACTTTACTTTTCCTAAAGCCAAGTTCATTGAACACACATTTTATTAAAGAAGCGGAGTTTAAACAGCCTAACAACTATTCAGTCTTTTTTGAAAATTTTGTGTATAACAAATTATATACACATACACACTTTTGTGTACACTTTGTTGATCTTTCGATTCCATTTGCGACGGTACTATTTGTATTTTATTGTAGTTTTTGTTTTCCGAATTTCCATGTTTCTTCTGAACTACGTTTGTTGTTTGAGACGATAAATAGTTATGACGAAAGGTACTACTGGATGGATTGCAAACTAACAAGTTATGACAGTGCATATTGGCATTTCAGCCAAGCAAGCAGTCGAATAACAACACAGTCAGATGAGATAAGCCTCGGCGCCAGATAAAACTGATCGACGGATTTGTCTCTAATCTGAAAAGCTTATTCCGTCACACAGCCTTTCTATTCGACAAGCGGAAACTGAAGTTTTTCAGGTTATATATTTTGATGGTATGACATATAACGACAGTAATGCCGCATAGCTTTTGGCAGAACAATTTTTTCAAACATATATACGATATCTGATGGTCTATGTGACGGCTTGTTATCGACAAATTTCCTCCCCCCTCTCAACAGCACGGCTTAAAAATACGAAACTCCTGTATGATCAACCTGCTAAATTTAGATGAAATCATCCTTGATAGAAAGGCGGACGTTAATATTACATATCATGACTTCGTAAATGCTTTTATTACAATCGACCATGGATTTTTTATCAATAAGCTGAAACGTTTAGGTATCAAGTTGATGTTAATAGGTTGATTCAATTCGGATCTTAACTCCTCTCTAGAGGCATCCATAGTTGAGCACGAGATTTGAAAAGCCTCAATATCAGGAGCCTCACCAACAGCAATCTTAGTTCCATTCCTGTTTTTGATCTTTATGAACGACTTGCTAGATACATTTAGCTCGGCGACACTTATCTATGTAGACAACATAAATCTAAAGGTCCATAAAGCGCAAAAAAGATTCACCTAAGCTTCAATAGAACTTTACAACATCAAAGGAATGGAGAATAGACAGTGAGTTAAAACCTGTCAAGATGTCATGTCACTCACATTCTACATCATTGGACACGAATAACTTACGTCCTCTGTAGGAATCAGTTCCCGTTTGCCTCATTTAACAGTTATCTTTAGCTCATAACTACGGAGAGATTGTACACCAGCCTATATTATACAGCTGATAATGCCAAGGCAAACACAACTCACCATATTAAGCGTGGATAACTTAGCGCGACCACCTCAGAGTTATACCTTACACTAGTTGAAACTTACACACGACTTCACAACATCGTACCTCTCTTGTTATCATCTCTGCTTCCCGTCTTATTGCTCTAACTCCTTCTTCTTGCACATTACCAATTATTCAACTTGTCTGTTATACGTGAAACAATCATTTTATCTTTAGCACTTGAATCTTCGTTATTATTGTCGTTTTGTAAACAACCAACCTCCTGACTGTTAGTTGTATAACTGCTGGTATCAAGAATTTCTACTGTCCTAAGACAGACACAGTCACTCAAACTACTAGATATACAAATCAATACAAAACTAACTAGAATTATTGTAGTCAAGATGCTACACTACCAACCATTGAGCATCACCAATATATCTGGATCTGTACAGGAACAAAAATGAGACAGCTCAAAAAATCAGTCGTTTTATACAAGTACGTAATATATATATATATATGATATTGAAGAAACATGTTGCATGTTGTCTTGACGATATAAACAGCGCCTTATTTAGTTAAAATTAAAATATCGATTTTACTTTTTGTTTCGATTACCATACTTTTAACAATTATCCATCATCTATATGTGCCTGGCGTTTGTTGAATTATTGATTTTCTGCATCTGAGTTTTAAGTTCGGATCGTATATGCGACTGTCTTCGCTAAATGTATACACGTCGTTTTTCAAGGTGCTGTTAGGATCTGAAAGTCTAAGTCCAGCCTTGATTTTGACAACATTTAAACTTTATAAAAACATCTATCAATATGATACTTTCACGTTCTAAACCTGCACTTCAGAAACAAAAATATGTCCCATTACAATCAAGGAAGATTCCGAGTTTAAAAGAATTTGTTGACAAGCGCGACTTCACCGGGGCACTAACTCTTTCGGAATTTGAGCGCTGCTGTGGTAATTCCAGTATTGAGACAGATCTATGGGTAGCATACTCGGCTTTTCACTTAGGAGAATATAAAAAAGCCGCAGAAGAGTATAGGAAACTCCTCGAAAAACCTAATGCGCCTCCAGAGGTTCACACGTACCTCGCATGTTGTTACTTTTTCCTTGGAATGTACCAGGAAGCAATGAAGTCTGCTAAAGACGGCCCAACATGCAAACTACAAAATAGACTTCTGTTGCACGTAGGTCATAAATTAAATGACGAACGCGCCCTTCTCAGTTGCCACAACTCGTTAGACAACTCAACAGAAGATCAGCTATCGCTGGCCTCAATTCACAGCCTTAAAAACCACCATCAGGAAGCTATCGACATATACAAACGCATCTTATTGGATAATAGAGAATACTTGGCATTAAATTTAAACATAGCTTTATGTTATTATAAAATGGATTATTACGATATATCTCAGGAAGTATTAGGAATATACCAGCAACGATATCCAGATAGTGCAACGGCCACTAATCTAAAAGCATGCATTAATTTCAGGTCGTACAATGGCAAGGCAGCTGAAGCAGAACTAAAAGCTCTTCACAGTGTTTCTACTTCATCATTTACATACGCACAAGATCTCATTAAGCACAACTTAGTTGTGTTCCGTAACGGGGAAGGAGCTCTGCAGGTAATATTGTATTTTAGCATTGAAATTTTATTTTGTCATGCTTTTTTAATATACAAGTTTAAGTGACGTGTAAACTAACAAATATGACCAGTTTGATACACCGAAAGGATTCTGACATAGATATCTCTGACTAATAACAAGTAGAATGGCATTCGCTGCAGGAATGCTGTCACTGTTATTATATATGTTAAGATCCTACTGTGTTTGCAGCTTCTTTTTGCTAAACTTAGAAAAAACTGACATAACCAATTTTCTAGTACATTAGTTTTTTTAAATAAAGAGCCGATTTATTTAAATTTATTGGATGTGTCCATATTTTTAATGCTGTGGGTGAAACCCCAGGTTATGTGACACAAATGCGAAGCTCAGTAATCGCGTTAGATGGTAAGTATTCCTGTCATTTACTTACAAGGAGTAAGGGTGATTTAATGAAAAAACCAAACCCTAAAAATTACGTATCTTCTATTTAAATAGGTCCTGGGAACAGATCCTGGACCCTAGTAGAAACTTCAATATTAAGTGAAGTTTCAGTGTGTCAAGTAGAAAATTCAAGTGTATACGCACCAATGTCTTATTGGCACTAAATTTGCTTTATTATTGATGTTTAGACAAAAATATGCTTGCACGGCTGAGTTGCTGATTATACTTTTAAAAAACAGAATGCATTAGTTTAGGTGAGAAAAATACACCTAAATAAGAATCTTGTATTTACTAAACGCTCATAGCTCCCCATACTCTGATGTAGGAAAACAATACTTTTTGATGTTATTCAAGAAATGTCCTAGCGATGACTTCCTATTTACCAGTAACATCACCTCGAGATACATTTACAACCTACTAATAAGGCCAATCTGGTCTTATTGTATTTCTCACTATCCTTGTCCTTTGTGTTAATAAGTCAGAAAAAAAAACTGGAACTGATTCATTTCTACCTAATCTTCAATACTTCCTTGTTAATAAATTTAAACTGTTTAAACACAGTAGAAATGTAATATTTTCTGTCATATATAAATAGGTGATTTTATTGAAAACCATTTAATAGTATATATTACTAAAATAGTCGGTTATCTCACCAAATTACAATACAATGAATATATGTATATTTTCTAGGTGCTACCACCCTTGTTAGACGTCCTACCAGAAGCAAGACTTAATCTTATCATCTTCCATTTGAAAAATGACGAACTACAAGAAGCATATGAACTTACTAAAGAAATAGACCCTAACACACCACAAGAATATGTACTAAAAGGAGTTGTGAATGCCATTCTGGGTCAAGAGCATGGGTCACGTGAGCACTTGAAACAGGCTCAACAGTACTTCCAGCTAGTGGGAGGATCAGCCAGTGAATGTGATACAATATCCGGACGTCAATGTATGTCTTCTTGCTTTTTTCTTCTTCGGCAGTTTGATGATGTTCTTATATATCTAAACTCGATAAAAAGCTACTTTTATAATGACGATATATTTAATTTCAACTATGCTCAAGCTAAGGCAGCTGTAGGAGCGTATAAGGAGGCACAAGAAGTGTTCTTGCTCATTCAATCAGAACATATTCGTTCAGAATATACATATCTAAGTTGGCTAGCAAGGTGCTACATTATGACTAAACAAGCTCGTTTAGCATGGGAGCTATATCTAAAAATGGAAACTTCAGCCGAATCCTTCAGTCTGCTGCAGTTAATAGCTAATGACTGTTACAAAATGGCACAATTTTATTACGCCGCTAAGGCATTTGATGTACTAGAGAGATTGGACCAAAACCCAGAGTACTGGGAGGGTAAACGTGGAGCATGCGTCGGTGCCTTCCAGCTCATAATAGATGGACAAGAACCCAAGGAAAGACTTCGAGAGATAATTCAAATCTTGCGTAATACAAATAACCCTCAGATAGAATATCTTATACGTATTATGAAGAAATGGGCAAAAGAAAACAAGATTGTTGTATAATGATGAGCATAAACTGTTGTATGATTTGTACGTGTATAATAATTAAACAAACCCATGAATTCTTCATAAATGTTTGTTATTCTTAAGGAAGTTTGAGACGATAGTTAATAAAGAGTATCAAGGAAAGAAATTGTCTATCAAATGCCGAAAAACCCTACAAAATTAGACACATTTTTCTAGAAAAAACTATTTGTATCGATATAATTTGACTAATTTTTGATTTACTGTAAATATGCAGCGAATTATCCTATCAAACGATTGAACACCATATTGTAAGAAGAAAATGATACAAGAACTTAATCTGCTTATTTAAATATCTAGAAGTGCTGCTTTTCTTTGATAGTACGTTTCGTTACTAAGTCATTTACAATATAAAAGACTGGGAAAATAAAAATTAAAGGATATTTCCTTGTCTAGAGACATGATTAGCAAACTAAACTCAATACATAAACAAAAGCTTTTTCCCAGACTCGTCACAGAAAATACGGTTGTTAAATAGTGAGAATTAACAGTTCAGCTTTAGAAGTCCTGATCTGTTCCTTAAGTAAAACTGATGCACGGTAATTTCAGGTTGAGCAAAATGATTAGAATATGAATAAGAACAATGGGTAAGCACTTACAGATTATTAAACAAACAGGAAACGTATTCCATACATTTAGGATTCACGATACTATGAGACAAATTGTTGATATGGTCGAAAATGAAGCAGATTGAGACAACTTCTCATATGCAATGGATTTCAGTATTTTTAAAAATAAATTGTACATTACAGGCCATAGAAACAACAATTCAATAAAGATGTGCATATAATGTATTTAATGTGCTGTTTTCATATTTTACACAAAGACTGTAATTTTGCATAATATTATAACCAATTTCTTATGCCCAAGACTTCATTCAATACAATATGAAAAAAATGGGTTTGAAGAAGAGTATTACACCAAATAACCTACATCAAATTTAGTGTACTAGTTACATTTTATTATAAAGAGATCAAGTAAAGTACAACATTACACAAAAGAGCATTACATAAAACTGCCAAGTCTTTTAATTATGACATAATTGCAGGAAATCAACATAATTAGGAAGGGGTTATGATTGTTTTAAACAAAAATAACGACGAGTTAACAGTAAGTAATCTAGTCATAATTTGGGGGGGAGACAATAAATACAAGTAACAAAAAGCAACAAGCAACGACTTAAATTTAAGAGATTAATATAACACATACATTTACTGCATACACTTTATATATATACATATATATTCTAAAAAATAAGGTAGAATTCCGGTTTATTTTTCAAAATGTGATTTAATTAACTCATCAATTCTGTGAAGATCTTTTAAGGAATACTGTGCACTACCACGAGGAAGAGGTTTACTCTATAAGAAAACAAAAGCAGGAATGATGTAATTATTAGTTGAATAAATTACCTGTTTTGTCTCATTTAAAAGGAAACCTTAATACTTAATCAATGATTTAGAAATGAAAAAATAAAGATTAAAAGTGATCAGATCAAAAAATGGAGTAAAAATATGGTCACTAAATTTTGTTTTAAGTAGAGTGAGATGCAGATGTTCTAGCCAAAAGATTTTGTGATCATAAAAACTATCAATAATCTCAAAAATTAATTAAAGTTACCCAAATTATGTCAGTTTACTTTTACAGCTAAATGTGGAGCATCATATCACCGTTAATTCATTTTTGTTTATTTGACAGTAACATATTGTGCATATAAATTTTCTCTAAATAAAAAAATACTGATTCAGGACTAGTTTGAGTTAGTCAGTCATAATTAACACAGGGAGCCCAGTACAAATGTTCGTCAGCCAAAGTTGCTATACCACCATATAAGCAGGGTGAAATAAAACTAGTAAGATGAATAGCAAAGAAGTTGAAACAATCAACTCATTGAAGTGAAGCAGTAACTTAATCATTAAGCATTTAATCAATAGGATACAAGTCCGAACTCTGCTTCTCTTATTTTAGTGTGGGGCAGCTGGATAGCGTTAGAAACACTTAGACAAAAAGTATGACTGAAAGACGATTATAAGAATCGGTACTTGATTGCTGAATTTGATTGAATTAAATTTCATTTAACAATTTTCTTGTTATCACTAAGTTAAGAAACATAGCAGAGAAGAGTATCTATAAAGGGTATTTATTTTATAAATGAGTAAGGTCATATATTACACTAAGGTTACAAATGTGCATACAGGGAGGATATCACCACTTCACTGAATAATTAATCATATATTCACAATTAGTAGGGACTTGGAGTACCTTAAAATACAGTTTGACTTGGATTCATTAAGATGTATTCCTTGGTGTTCGACTAGGATTCAACAGTTTAAAAATACTTCAGTCAACACATAACGAACAATGGTCACTTACTTGAGAAGGATCAGGTTTCCATCCAATAAAATATAACAGCCGATAGGTTGCCGGAATACAGCGTTCATTTTCTTCACCTTCACGAGGAACACTGAATTTCTCTATAAAAAAGTGATACGATTTGAATGTATTAACTAGTAACATACAAGATTTGAAAAACAATAGAGGTATATATATATGGTTGCAAGCATTAGAACAGAAGACAAGTGACAGATTGACGGGAGCTATTAGAAAAATAAAGTAGATGGTATTCAGTAATACGACTCTTAAAATTTAAAAACAAAACAAATAGTGAATGAATTTTTGGCCGACGCTGTGATCAATCCTCTGCTATATTTCTGTTGTATCCGAAGAAGACTGAATTATGGGTAACTTCTGGGAACTATTTATGGACTATTATATATATATATATATTCTTATTGAATAACTATCAAGTAACTAGGTTATATATATTCATATTCCTTTCATTATAAGCTTTTGTTTGACCTACTGACTATTATCATATGACTTACTATTCTTAAGATATTCCCAATTTATTAGTTACAGTATCTCACATTCACAATCACTTCTGGCCTGACCTCACATAATTATTTTCTATTTTATGGTGTAATGCGGTGTGATTTGCTTGTATATAAACTGCGTATGTGTGAAATACATGATTCATATATTAGAAGCTGAGATTGTGTTCTGGATTGAATGAGTAGGGATAGGTGAAAAGGACCGATAAAGACTCAGAATTGACTCTAGACTGCTCGTGCTGGTTAACGTGTCGTTGGTTTGACACAGGGTTAAGTTAGTATAAGTCGGTGTTTTGATTGGCGATCTTGTCACGTGATAATAAACAAGGCAAAATATATAACAATTTCCTAAAGTTTCTAAACATTAGGTTATAAGCGCGTCGTACACTCAATTGATGAAACCTTTACCCCACTACTGACTATACAATTGACACTAAAGGTCAACAATTTCAGAAACTAAGACTACTGTTTCCGTTTGTGATATAGCTAAAGAAAAAGTATACGCATCAGTTTTAATAACGGTTATCAAGCACAACGAAAAGAAAACAACTGCTTATTCTTCTCTACATTTAACTTTAAGTAATCCAAAAACATAAGTCCAATCTTGACTAATTAAAAGAATAATTAAGATCTACCAAAACAAATCTATTATGAGAAACATTTTTCGAGTAGTATAAATACGTTTGCAGTATTCTACAAAACACAAAGACAATATAACATGTATGTTAAAAACATCAGTGACTTAATGTTAGGTATTCGAAGAATTTTAAATGGGACTTCTATATTATTGATAAATGTATACCAATCGAATTAATTGTTAATTCAGTGAATATCTAATTGAGATGAAAATATGATCTTTCTCTTTGTAAACTTAATGAATTCTTTGACAAGTTAGTCAGTCAGTTACAACGTAGGACCAGGCACAGTTATGCATCGGTCCAAGTTGCCATACCTCATTAGCACAACAAGATGAACACCGAATTCATAGAAATAATTAATTTAATGGTGGTAGTGTATAAAAGATAGGCTGTATATAAGGATATAGTACAGGAAGAAAGAAAAATATAAAACAATTTTAATCTCAAGGTTTGAGGGAAGATAAAGAGTGTATACACCTACGCCATTTGGATCGATTCTGAGCTATGAATTGATGTACAAAGAAAGTAATTTAAAATTTACTATATTTTGTGATAGATTATAATAATTTCGAATTATAAATGATTAAAATATACCACTGAATATAAGCGTGATCTATACAATCTAGAGAGCTGGAGATGACACTTCAACAACAATAAGTCCCCTTATCAATCGAAGTGAAGAGATAGAAGTTGAAGAGCATGATATTACAAGATGCAAAATTTATGATACAACTTTGTTTGTATGGTAACAGCTCTAGTCCTAGAACATATAGAATAATAAAGAGCCGAAAGAAACCAGTGAGACTATAGCAAAGGTCGATGGGGTGATATGAATCGAAAAAGAAGTTACTGAGAACATACTTATTCGTCAGAATTACTGCTAATTGATAAAACTGAAAAGGCCTAGACAATCTGAGTCCTTTCTAGAAGAACTATACATTGACAATTACATCTTTTAGTTCATGATAACATGGTATCAAAATCTTACAAAATAGAGAGGGGTTCGAATTTGTAGACAGTTCTTATTTCATGCATAACATTAGTTAAATAACCCGTGAAATTCTTAAGAAACATGTGCAATGCTTGAAAAGTCACCCACAATTGTAGCTGACAGTTCAAAATTCGCTCAGAGTTTAACGGTAAATAGTTTTGTGACTGCTATCCACAGAACTGTATTCGATTAGTTTTAGTTGATATATAGACTAACTGAACAGGCACTTCGATATTGCCTACATTTGAAAATTGATTATACCTAAATAATGACACAGACATTTCAGTTGTCGATTCTCCTACAATCAGAAAGAGGTTTTGTGGATATTATGGGAATTTATTAGTTGAATTCATGAGTCAATTGAATTTGGACCACCATGGAAAACTTCGAAGCACTGGACGGCCGTTTCGTCCCAGTATTGGACTCCTCAGCAGTGCGCATTTACGATCCCGGCCGCAGGACTCGAACCCAGGACCTATCGGTCTCCTGTGCGAACACCTAACCTCTAGACCACTGAACCGCGATCCAACAGTGTTAATGTCTAACTTCAATCGATACACGAAAGTGCGCCACCGTCCACCCTATAAGATAAAATTTACATCTCGAATTCCCCTGTTAATTATTAGAGAAAATTAAATTAAGAAACAATTGTAAAATAACTCTATAAGAAACATCTTTAAAGTCACAAGAAATGTGAGTTACACAGCTAACAATTTTAACAAAAGATGACTCTATATTTTGTCAAAATATGACCATATGAATATTGTATTTTACTTGAACAAAGATACAATTAAATCAATAATATTATAGTACAATAATCATTATTTACCATTGTAAATTGCAGAAGCTGCAAATAAAACATCACGATTCAAACGTAATGGTCTATGAACAGTAGCATTGGATTCACCCATAAATCGTAGATCATTCATTAATGCAAATATATCTGGATAATGAATGACAATTTCATCGATATCCTAAGAAAGTTAAAATTAAAGTGTTTACTGATAAAAAGTGACAAAAAAAAACAAATGACTGAGTAATTAAACATTGGAGATAAACATTTTTTGCATATCACATAATTATCCAATTGCAAATAAGATATCGTGACTCTTCACTTCCTAGATGTTCCTGAGAAACTTCTATTCAATATTGATTGGATAAAATATTTTCCAGTTTTCATGGCCCCTCTCGATTTTTTCGAAAAATGCTTTGAATCTCCACAACATCTTTCTCCTTTTAAAAGTAAGACTTCTTCGGATCTACTTGAAGCTTTATAACTCGCTTCCAGCAGCGTTCCATTTTTTCGATACCTCTCTAATCCAAGTGACTAAATTATTACTCGCCACATCATACATAAGCAGAGATACGACACCATACACAGAACTGTTGTGCACACAATACACTGGCTCATTCATTTATTTGAACACAAAAATATTGGTACAAGAAAGCACCAAATACATATGCGCCACACAATAGCGATGAGGCCAGTAGTAATCATGGATTTGTGTGAAGGCTGGAATACTGTCCGGGTGCCCAAACAGAAGCAGGCCACTTCCCGAGCCTTTTACCGAGAGGTTTAATCCACAAGGCAGTGGGGCGTCCCAATGATAGCCGGTGAACAACAATAGGTTCATAAGCCTTTTGTTCCTTAAAGATCCTAGAGACCATGTACACTATTGATTTGGAATCAAGGTTTTCCGACTCCCGTAGGTGGATCCTCCATATCCACCAACTCGGTTAAAGCACTGGGCATTCGCTTCTCGTCCTCTCAATTTCTTAAACAACAGTAATGCCATGCGAAGGCAGTGAGTAGGACTTCTCTGACAGTGGCTGTATACGCATGGTCATGTGAGAGCATTTAAAGAGAGGGAGAGCTGACTCTCCTCACCCTCGGCCGTACCAGGGCATTTGGAAGTCTTGAGTTTTCGCACGTTTCAAGGAGCAAAGAGGTAGTAAATTACGGGAAGGAGCGTGTGTTATTGTACTGTGTGTGTGCGCGTTATTGTACTGTGAACATCGATACTAGGATCCACGTACATCCTGCTGACGAGTCTAAATTAGACGAAACAAGCATTCTGGACTTTAACGTCAGCCAAAATTCGCATATCTACCTCAACTAAACACAAAATTGTACTTGATAAGTCAATTAATGGTTATGCCGTCCCAAAATACCGTCTTATTTTCCATTACCTCCAATGTTCTTTAAAATACGATGAAAAAAGGTATCTCCAAGTCAATAAAAAAAATGTTAGAATGCGACTCTAGAATCAATATAATCAATTAAAAAAACCGGAACACCGTTCAAATAGACATTATCAACATAATACACTTACTAATGTGATTAAATTGAATCCGGCAGATTGTAACAAATTAGCCATATCTACACTATCCACGAATGGACTAATATGCGATGAGATTCCGCCTAATCTTTCTAATTCAGCTAATTGTAATGATACACGCAATTCATACAATGTATCCATTGCTGGCATCACACCTAATAAGCATCCATCATTACGCAAACAAGTTAATATCTAAGTAGAGTTTTAGTTTGTTAAAATAAAGAAAAGATGATTCAGAAGGAAAAATTAAGAAATAAAAATCTTTAAAAAAGAATGATTAAACTAGTCTAATTGTATTAATCTGTAGCAGTTCTCGTCATACTTCTATTCAATCTACTTTTTAGCTACTAAATATATCATTTTGACCTGATCTTTTATCTTATGAACTTGGAAATTATTTACCGATAACCTTGAGCGTTTTTTATATATGGATATTTGTACATGTGTCTATTCGTTTCACTTACCTGTACTTTATACGCGGACTACATAACATGACGTTTGCTTAGATATACGAGGAGGCAACAACACTTATATGGATGCTGGTCAAATGCCTGGGTAATTGAATAGCCGAACTATTTCTAGCGAAAAATACGCTTCTTACTTAATTTTTAATATCTACGGTGTGTTAACCTGGTCATTTGGTAGAATCTATACAAAGTTAATAGGATGTATATTTCATTATCATCATTTATTATGTAGTCAATTCGGTGACTCAAACTTTACTATGCAGACATTTACAACAGACACTCTATGCTCATTATCATTATATCGGATATGGGGCTTTTGTGATTTTTGGACGGATGTCTTTTATCACTGTAGCCTTCGAAGGATAACGTGGTAGACAACGTTACGTAGTTTGTTGTCCGATTCTGTTTTTAATGTTGTTTATGTCATCCAGAATGTTGTTGACCAAGCTGTGATTATTTTCTAGATGATTCTTTTCGAGAATGACGAATGTATCGTCCACACAGAGTATCCAAGCTTTTGGTTTGACTATTGGTAAGTGTTAATTCTGCATACGCATCTAAACCTCTTTTCTTTTTATTCGATGATCTTTTGCGGCGTACTACTGAATAATATTCAGTAAGTAGTTCAATTTTGTCATTTTGAACGTACAGTATACCACGCTTTTTTCTTGTGTAACGACTCCTTAAGTATTTACAGGAATTTGTCATATGCAATGTACATATAATTGTGACTTACTAAATTTCGTGCATTTATTGACTGTTTGTTTACGTGCAACAGTTCCCATATTTTGAACTGTTAAACCATCGTTTTGATTGTCGATAGTCATTGTTAACTTCAAAAATACAGCTACTAACTGTCATTTGGATTATCATATATTGTAAACGATCTTTAAATGACTACTTTATGGGTATTTTTTCTATCTATACAAATTGATGCATTAAACGTCACAGATACCTCATGGATTAAAGTTTGTAACTATTTTACATTTCTTTTGGTGAATAATAGTACTGTTTCCCAGACGAAATCTTGGTAATGGACTCTGATTTACTGAACGCTACCATGTAGAGTGGTCAGACACTCCAATAGATTTAATATTATCAAACTCTACTGTGGTCAAGAATTGGTTCAGTGCTCTCCGATTCTCAATAGTATCTCAAATAAGATCAATATTTATAATAACAAATACTATCTGTGAAACAAACCGATCTCCACAAATTTATAATTTATTTATTTAAGCTTATTTATATTATTTATTTGTTTAAACACATAAATATTGGTACAATGAAGCACCAGATAAATATGCGCCTCATAAATCTCATTCGATTTGTGTGAGGGCTGTGATACTGCCCAGGTGCCCAGACTGAAGCAGGTGGTTTTCTTAGGGGGCCACACCCGGAGCCTTTGACCTAAAGGTCTGATCCACAAGGCAGTGGAGCATCGTGAGGAGATGCAGTCCCATGGTAGCCGTTGACCAATGACAGGTTCGTCCGCCATTCGTTCCATCAGGATACTGGAGCCCATGTGCACCATTGGTTTGGAATCAGGGTTTTCCAATTCCCCTAGGTGGACCCTCCGTGTCCACCAACCCGGTTAAAGCGCCGGACATTCGCTTTTCGTCCTCTCACCTTCGTAAACAACACCCCCGCCGCGAGAAGGCAGTGAGTAGGACTTCCCTGTCAGAGGCTATATATTCGCGTGGCCATATGAGAGCATTTCGAGAGGGAGAGCTGACTCTCCTCACTCTCGGCATTCATATAATCAACTAATATTCTAATCTGCTTTTTATAAATTGGCAAAAATAAAATGTACAATATCACTGATAATAAATATAACTGTATTGATGAAAACGAAAGGAGAATGAACATTAAAACAAAATGTATAATTCATTTTAAAATATTTACTTGCTTTAATAAACCAGGTAGATCGTTTATCCAGTGTAAGCTTTCAAATTTAAATGGAAATGAAATTTTTTGAAAAAGAAGGAAACAATAAACATCATGTATCAAATCAAATTTTATCTCTCAATGATGATTTATAATAAACTAGATGTAACCACTGTACCTAGATAGAATATTCTATATAACAAATGACTAGATCATATTAACCGTACAAAGTGCTTATAAACATTATAGACTAAATCAATAGTTGAGAAATTTATATAACTGTCAAATCTGTACAAGAAGAGTTATGTCCTTTAAGATTTCCGGTTGGTCGACAGTAAATTCTATTTACAGACAAGTGAGGATCCCTTCAATATGGTGTAACGAATAAGGACTTGAATAGACTGGATATCTGTCATACAGAAACACAGCACTAATAATCTACGTGCTAACAAAGTAAAAAAGACTTTCAGAAAAACTCTATATTCCGTACAGAGGTCAAACATTGAAAAAGAACAACTCTGTCTACATGGTCACATGCAATGACCTTGAGACACAACAAAATTAGCAAACTAAGGAAGATATCAACCAAACACGTAATTGTAAAGATTATTGCGGGAGTATGAATTCAAAAAATGTCATTTAAGCTTTCTTGTAAAGGAAGAATCAACCTGTAATAACAGAAATACTAATTAACCTAAACTCTTCTCAGCAGTCACATTACGTTTTGAAATCAGTTGCAGTGGGTCAGTTGGTTAAGGGAATCATCTTTTAGCAACTAGATCACAGGTTTGAATAATGCTTTACCTACTTCAGTTGGGGCAACCGGATAATGTCACTAGCCCTTATACTTAGAATGCGGCTCGAATCGAAGCACACGAGTTTGTACCTGCAGAGTTACAAACAATTGTAATAATAAAAATGGAGTTGTTCTTCAAGTTTTTTTTGCAAATGCAGTGATAAAGTGAAGTATGATTTCAGTCAGCGATGTATTATTATTAGCGTTAAACAGTTATCTATCAAAGTCAAATACTTTAAACAACAAACCATATTATGACTATGCCATTAAATAACATGGTTTAGATAACCTTGTAGAAAGGATACTTGGGATCTATTGGGAGACTGAAAAGTGACTAAAAAGAATTAACGAAATAGAGATTCTTTTTCGTCCTTTCTCTTTTTAATATAATTAATTGAATGACGTACATTTTTCATTATAGTTGAGTGCGAAATATCAGTTAGTTAGTGAAATTCGGAAAAAGTATTTATCTTTCATTTGAGACTCATTATTTAGACGTAAACTCATTCCGATATTGATGTTCCCGCTAGAAACTTAGAATCAAAACCTATCGCCTTGAACAATGAAACATTGTGCACCACTCAGTGAAAATAACCAGCAAAATTCTACTTAGCGTTATATGGTACATTATCAGTTGTAAGAGGGAATTAAAATGCTTACACAATCAACTAGTATAGATTAAAAAAATAAAAGCGAATTTACCTCATAGAGCTTAAAACTAAATCTAGAGTATTTGGTCGAAAAGGTAAACAGTACTCATGGCAATTTATGTTATACGTACAAACTTCCGCAGATGGTTTAATCTGTTTCTAAACAAAAAGATTAATAAAAGGGAGGACATTAAGAAAACTTTAGTTACAAGTATATCATAAAATGAATAACTTTAGAAGTAATATAATGGCGATTTAGTTATACGGCTTTGAGTCTTTCTTTACTGATGGTAAGGAGAGGAAATAATCAATTTCTTTTGATATATGTATATCCTTAGCGAGCTGACTCAACGTATATAACCATTAAGTCACAAGTGTTTTTGAGTAAAGTTGAATAGAGACTAGTGATTAAATCCAGAATGAGAGTTTCATCTTATTTATTGACTCATCATCCAATTTTGCTTAAAAATACTACAATTGTAGTTAAACGATGGCTTATTAAAATACGAAATAGTTGTTGTTACGTGTATAAACTATAAATTAGGTAAAGAATAAGCGATTGTTGAATTATTGAATAACCTGATGCCTAAAGTATATGAATTAGTGCTCAATGAACAAAAATCTAATAACAATATTAGAATAAAAGTGATAGAAAATTTCGAATTTCATATACTCACTATATTTCCCGCCCCCCAGATGCCCTAGTACCGCCGAGAGTGGGGAGAGTTCACTCTCCCTAACTAACTATTATGAATAAGGTTTGAATCCTTTAGAGCATGATTCCCAAATATAATGGTATTCTTAAAGTCTTTCATGTGACTATATTGTCAGGACTTAAAAAACTTTAAATGATTATTTACAAATATTTATTTCATTAGTAATTAAACAACTTGATTTTCGAAGACTGAGTACTGGGTTTGGGTTTTAGTGGGGGCTAATATAAGTAGTCTGAAATAAAAGAAATAATGAATTCCAACTGCCAACCACTGTTCAAAATACAATGAAAACTAAAACAAGTTTCTTTTGCATAAAAATAGACGGATTAGCCGAATAGAAACATCGCATACATTAATTGGTTATGACCGAAAACAAACTCACAACTAACAAAAAAGAGACATACTAAGACCTCAGATGAACTGTCTAGTTGGTAGAGAACCCCGATATTATCTGATGTGATAAACTGAGATAAATGCCCTCGACCACAACCAATATCCAAAGCGACATCGAATTTTCTATGATGTAAAAAAAACAATCAAAGAAGTAACTTTCCGCTTCATGCTTACAACAATGTTTAATTGAGTTGTACAGGTGGTTTGATTCTAGGTATATTAAAGTAACTGAAGAATTCATATACCAACAAAACGATGAACAATAATGACCACGGCAATTTCATTAAGCATTTGTAGACTTATCACATAAATATATACTTTCATTATTTCGTTCTAAATACTGTAAATTAAAGAAATTCTTTTTGTTGATCATATAATTCTATGGCATTTAGTCTAAATTTAAACAGTATTACATTTTGCCCAATATATCAAGTGAGGTAAACTTGAGTCCCGGGCAAAATGTCAATTTATTTAAAAGTGAAAACATGTCTTGCTGGTAGGGGACGACTAGCACAAAACCTAGGCCTAGCGTGCATGTCGACCTTTTTTTAACCAAATGTAACGTAAAACGTCGGTGGTCTGAACTCCGAATTTTCGAAACATACAAATAGTTTTCACAAAGCGGTATTTTTATTTCTTTAACAGATGCTGTAGTTGATGGGATGATACAGCATTTCTCATATTTTGATCGAACAGTTTAAGTCATTTTTTACTGTAATCAGGATGAAACACTTATTTCTTTGACAGACTAAAAAGGAAAAAACTATTGGTGGGGAAGTTGCTTTTGGATTGTCATTCAGAATTAAAAGGTCGAAATTTCAAATTTCATGTAGGCTTTTTACACAATAACAACTCAATCTTGATTTTTATAGGCTAGAACCAACTTAGGCAGATTTAAATAGCCTGAAGAAGTTATATAAGGTAGTTAATTTGATATTCATAGAATCACGATTAAAAAACCAACCCAAGTTAGACAACAGAGATTAAAAATAATATAAATACTTGATTGTACAACATAACTTCTGTAAAAGCATGACATGACATGAAACTGCATTCGAAATCACATTTTCAAGATCAATAAGGATAAAACAAAGATAACCTTGATATATCATTTAGGCGGTCAGCTAATCGGTCGGCAACTTCTTCACGTATGTAGTCATACATGTGAGGATCATCAGTAAGTGCTGATCGTGCACGTTGTTTTTCTTTAACAGATTTATCAAATACTATATTTTGCCCGGTAAACTGATTTCGATATCCAAATGCAGGAATCGCATATTTATAGTAGCGCGTGAACGTATTTAGTACCTATAATAATAAGGTCGAAAACAGTGTTTCAATGAGGTGTTTTAAATGAAAAACAGTGACCGTCAGTGAACAGTATTTTTACCATGCAATTTAATTTAGATTGCTTGTTTTTTATCGGTATGAAATAAGAAAACGAACCAAAATAAATTAGGATAATAAGGCAAGAACAGAAAAAAATTGAAGTGGAGATTGTAAACAATATTGGAATGGATAAAAATTGATTGAAAATGGATCATTGGAGTTGGTTTGAAAAATAGGGTTAACCATCACAAATTCTACGCTTAACTACTGTTTGGTATCCTTGAAACGTATCTTGAACTTTATGGACCATAAACACTATAATATCGGTGCACACATATATTAAATCCAAATAATTTAGATGATTCATGTTTACAACTCTATTATTAAACTTTCTTTAACTAAAACTTGATGTCCTAAATTAACACTTAGTTACTCCGTCTGTTAGTTGTAGCTTATACAAAAAACTTGACAACAGATTCATTGTTTATGATGGAGGTCTTTGATCTGAGTTGGTAGAAGTTTCCGCTGATAATGTCGTTCAGAAGGACGATGAAAGCTCCAGGACTAAACCATCCATCTCAGAGAAAAAGGCTCCATCAAAATCATCCACCTGAGCCACAAATCTCTACCACCTCAGATTCGTTGTTTAGCCTGACGAATTCGGAGAACTTTTGGTAAACAATGTAGTCAGTCAGTCAGCTACAACGTAGGATAAGGCAATATTTGTGTATTAATGTTTATTGAAATGTGAACACGGTGGTTTAAATTTGATCAGTTTGTTTTTTAGAGCTTTTACCAACATAATGATATTAGTGATCAAATAATACAGTGATTGTCGACACTGGAACTTAATTTAACCAAGGAAACTTGTGCAAATAGGAGGTTAACCTGTTAAAATACGCTTTGAAAATGTAACCTGGCGTTTAGAATTTAAAGCTCTGAACTACAACTGAATGCGTGCCCAGCTATTAAGAAAATAAGGACTGATTACCACTGAATAGGTCGATTCCTTATTTGATAAATAATAGATAACGTCAATAAAACATTACTGGAAATAAGTAAACTGGTTTCTTAATAGAAATCCTTGAAACATGAAAAAAACCCGATTAATGTGGTGATGCAAGTATCATGATACTTCAATCGAATATCCTCTACAAGTTTCAAGAAGCAGAATATAACACGAGCAGGAGTCCGCAGTCATCCAGTTCTGTTTCAGTGTGGAAACTGTACCTAATGAGGCTTAGTACGACCTGACACGATTAGCTTGCCGGAACAAAGCAGAATTATGACAAATTGTTTGAAAGCGAATACCTGTCCTTAACGCTTCAGTTTGGGCACCTGGGCAGTATCACAGCCCTCACACAAATCGAATGAGATTTGTGCGGCGCATATGTTTCTGGTGCTTCCTTGTACCAATATTTGTGTTTAAATAAATAAATAATAAATAAGCTTGTCAAAACAACACTTGTAACACATATGATCGATAAAGATGAATTTTTGATCTGTTTTTTATTGTTTTGGTTAATTGCACGATAAAAGTTGTTGGTATTGTAATGTCATGAATTGCTATTAACTTTATAACCGATGAATACTTGTCTATGCCAAGGCCACTTTTATCCCAAATACAGAAGTAAATTTTGGGATGCCATCGTAATTCTGAAGACTTTTTTGGGCCTCTAGAACTTTAGTGTTGGATGCAGTAAAACTGATAAGAATAAAAAGTGATAAATGAAAATGGAGTAGTAAAGCTGATTCACTTTACTTTATGACTAGACTCGTAACATTGTAGCTTGCATGAAACATAATTCCTCAGCAATATAAAGAATGGAAATTCAGGTGCGCAAACCAAAGTTGTGTATACTTTCCAATATCGCAGACCATACTGTATTAAACTGCTACTAGAAATATAGCCCAAAGGACTCGAAATTCAATAGGACTGCAAGCTTTCTAGGAAATTCGAGTATCAACCACTGTGTCATGTTATTTACATTCAAAGTATTTATCCTGAGATTGATGAAGATACGAAACACACTGAAGTTAACAGTAAACTATATGAATGAGCCCGTTGAGACATTGGAACCAAATCCAATCAGGATATTGAGGATAAACTATAATTTATAGATGACCTATGAGGGACGCTAAATTAACGTTTAGAATGTCCACCTACTAACCAGAACTGGATGAAGGGTATAAACCGTTGTGAGGAATTAAAATTATGATCCACGGTTAATGATTGGGGTTGGGAATTACATTTAGGGTTTTGATTCATGAACTGATATTAGATAAAATACCAAAACCTTATTTAGTCAAATGGATGGATGAACTTTAAGCCCAAATCCCAGACCTGTTACCTTATATCTGGTTGGTTCGTTCATAAATAATAGTCTTTCTAAATACTCATTAGATATTAAACAAATATTTTTTTTCAGGTACTATAATACGAAAAATGAGCATAACGTAACAATTATGGTGAGGGGACGATGTGAAAAAATTCGATGGGGATTTCTTACTGATTACCATTTAAACTTCATTTGACCTAAGTAAACAAAAATGAAGCAATAATAGTAGAATACGGGAAGATATATATACTAGCTAAAATAAAGTCGGTGTTAATTAAGGGGATATCGCAGCTAAAAGTCGCCTTATTCGTTTATGATGGGGAAATAATGAGACACTCCCAATCCCTCTATTTCGGTCGAAATTCGAAAAAAATGTGGGGTTTTCTATAAAGTCGTGAAAAGACTGGCTGTTTTCCCTAAAGTTTTCTATTGCAGCCATCCCAAAAAGGAAAGCTTTTCCCAGAATTAAAAAGATTGGGTTTCAGAGAGTAAACGTGTGCATCATATCTTTAAAAATGTCAACAAGTAGTAGTCAACCTTAACAAACTGATGGGTTTCAGGACGTTTCAAAAATTTACTTCCCGACGATATCACTGACCTTCAGGACCATCCGAGAAAAACCCCGCTAATACAATATACAAATTTTAAAGCTTGTCACATGGTCTGCATCATAGCTACCGTTCAGTTAGCTGGAATTGCCTTTTGAGCGAATCCTTCGATGGGATTTGTGTATATTCTCAGCTCGATCAGCTTCTAACTAACTGCGACTGAACTCCACCTGTAGCTCTTCTCGAGTTACTGCCGGTCTCGAGCCCGAATAAAGGAGGGTAGGTGTGATGTTTAAATAAATCAATGACTTCTTCGTATTGATGACTGTTGTAATTTTGAATTCCAAATACAATACATTCGTTCGAGTTCATCTGGTACTTCTTGATTAAGTTGCGTTATTCCTGGGATTACTAGTTCATACTACAATTCAAATACTTCTAATTATCATATTGGCGTCGCGATGGAGCCTGCGATACAACAGTTGGACATTCATTCAACTTCTGAAGCTTGTGAGGATTACCTTGAAAGGTTTGAGATATGGAGCATGACCAAGAAAGATATGAAGGGTGACAAAATTGTGGCACATTTTCTTACATTCATCGGTCAAGAAGCCTACAGTTTATTAAAAACCTTGGCATATCCAGATAAGCCGATTTCACTCCCATATACAACTCTCAAGGAATTACTATTAAACCATGTGAAGTGCACCAGTTTTGAGTGTCGTGAGAGAGCAAAATTTCATAAGATGATTCGTCAGGATAACCAGAAGGTTAAAGACTTCATCCTTGAATTGCAAAGACAAGCTGCCAAATGCAATTTTGGTGATCAGCTTCATGTACAGTTGAGAGATCGGTTAATTGCTGGAATTAACATACCAGGTCTGGAAAAGGAGCTGTTAAGAATGCCGAACTGTTCTTTTCAAGATGCTAGAACTGCATGTATTAACTACGAAGCAGTGAATGAACTTGATATTCAATCGATGAAAATTTCTAATACTTTGCTTAGTCGTCATGATGAATTACAATCTCAGGGTCGATCAAATTTGCGTTCGTTTAATCGTGATTGCTATTCCCGTGGAAATATGAAAGGTGGTTTAACAAGGAACTGCAAAGCAAACAACAAAGGTGAGAATAAGTTTGGTAAATGCTTATCTTGTGGCAAATTTCATTTTCGTAATTCATGTACATTTCGTAATGCTAAATGTTTTAAATGTGGCAAGATAGGACACATTCAGTCAGTGTGCAAAACTACTGTTCACTTTGCTTCAAGTATTACTAAGTCTGGTAACTTAGATCCCAATAATTCGGCTGTTCTTGATGATCATTTATCTTTATCCACTACTTCAAAAGGGAATGTTCATATTCAAAAGCGATTATATACATCCCTTGGTTCATTTCATGACTTTATTGTGGACACAGGTAGTATAGAGTCCATTATTTCATTCAAGAACTTGAAATCTTTAGATCCTAATGTTGTGGTAAAACCCACTGAGGTCTCAATACTGGGGATTACTGGACACAGACTACCTATACGAGGATGTTGTAAATTGCTAATAAGAGATGATAATTCTTCATACGTACCTTGTGAATTTTTAGTTAGTGAAACAGGACTGTCCATACTGGGTTTAAAAAATCTGAAAAGGCTTAAAGTGGAATTGTCTCTACTAGTTTCTACAGAGAATTCTGATGCTTTACTCAAGGATTTGATAGCTGTGTGTGCTAAGTGTAGTGGAGGTATGAAAATTCAGCCCATTAAACTTCAAGTACAGGGTGATCCGGTCTTTCTTAAAAGACGAATAATTCCTTATGGTCTTCGAGAAGCAGTACATAAGTCACTGAATGATTTGTGTGCGAAAGGTATAATTGAACCAGTTCAGTCCTCAGCATGGGGTACTCCTATTGTTACGCCATTGAAATCGGATGGCAAGACCCCTAGAATATGCGGTGATTACAGATTGACACTGAACTCCCGTTTGTTGAAGCAAACATGCACGACGATGGAGGCTGAAGATATTCTAAATCGGCTTCATGGTTCTAAAGTGTTCTCGAAAGTTGACTTGAAAGATGCTTATCTTCAAATCCCTTTAGACCAATCTTCATCTATCTTGACAACAATTAACACTCCTTTTGGTCTGTTCAAATACAACTTCCTTCCATTTGGTCTTAGTTGTTCTCCAGCCATATTTCAAGAGGTCATGAATAAGATAGTCAGCGATATTGAAGGTGTTGAAGTTTATCAAGATGATCTCATTGTTCATGGTGCTGATAAAGTAGTCCATGACCAGAGACTTATTGCTTTATTGCGTCGTTTAATTGAGAAGAATATTACAGTGAATCCAAATAAGTGTTCATTTAGTGTATCTAGTTTTGAATGCCTTGGATACCTAGTTGATGGTAATGGTTTTAGACCAGATATGAAACGACTAGCTCCACTGACAAATGCACCGTCTCCAAAAAACATCACAGAATTACGTTCACTAGTGGGTGCTCTTCAGTACTATTCTCGTTTTATTCCTAATTTTTCTTGTCGTGCCAATTGTTTATTTAATATTTTGACATCCAATTCATTCAAATGGGGTGAAGAACAAGAGTCATGCCTACGAAGTCTGCTAAAGTTTCTTCAAAGTGATGCTGTCCTTCGAACTTACTCACCCAGTGTACATTCTGTTCTTATTACTGATGCGTCACCTGTAGATATTGGTGCAGTTTTGGAACAGGAAGGTAGGCCAGTTATATGTGTTTCACGCAAACTTTCTGTTGCTGAACAAGGTTATTCACAAACGCAGCGAGAAGCGTTAGCTGTGTTTTGGGCTGTTAAAAGACTTCATAAATATTTATTTGGAAATAAGTTTACCATTGTTACTGATCATGAAGCCTTAAAGTTCATTTATCATCCTGACAAATCCTTAGCACGTTCCTCAGCTGCTATGGTTCAACGATGGAGTATTGCTTTGAGTGCTTATGACTATACGATTCAGCACAGGAGTGCAAAACAAATTCAACACGTTGACTACATTTCTCGACAACCATTACAAGATAGACCTGTTAATACTTCAGACTGCTTGTTAGTGCAACCTTTACCGGTGAGACGTCCAGATCTCATTAGAGAAACTCGTAGATACTTTGGATGTATACTCAGTGCTATACGGAAGGGTTGGAATGCTAATCTGAAACGTAGATTTCCTGTCTATTATTCAAAGCGGGACGAGTTATCTACTACTCCTGACGGTATTTTGTGTTTAAATGATCGTGTTGTTATTCCTCCTTCATTACGCAAACCTGTCCTTGATGATCTTCATAGTGGACATCTTGGTGTTGAGAAAATGAAGTCCTTAGCAAGACTCACATGTTGGTGGCCAGAGATAAATGCAGATATATGTCGTACAGCAAACAATTGTGAGAAATGTCATAAGCTAAAAAGTCTGCCTTCGAAGTGGACTCCATGGCCAGTATCGTCTGAGGCCTGGCAGAGAATTCATGCAGACTACTGTGGTCCATTTCTTGGCAAATACTATGCACTTGTAATTATTGATTCTTTTTCTAAGTGGCCTGAAGTTTTTTTCACAACTTCACCGAATTCTGACTTCACAATTCAAGCATTAAGGAAGGTGTTTAGTCGAGAAGGAGTTCCCATGGTGTTGGTGACTGATAATGGCTCTCATTTTGCTGCAGATGCAGTCACTAATTGGTTAAATGGTATAGGGTGCAGACATCTGTTTACGGCTCCCAGGCACCCTTGTTCCAATGGTCAGGCAGAAAATTTCCTAAGAACATTGAAAATTGCTATTGATTCTATTGCTGCTTCGACATTCAATGAACTGGAGAGGGGAGTAGATACATTTCTACTTCAATATAGAAATGCTAAGCATTCTGTGACGAAAGAGACTCCATCAAAGCTATTAAAAGGAAGAATTCTCCGTTCGAATATGAGGTGTTTGGAGTCTGCAGAAGTTACGTATTATCGTGGTAATGATCTTCGACCAGCCACGGGGATCGTGGTGAAGAATGTTGGAAAATCTATGGTGCGAATTCTGGATATCAATGACTTGACCATACATAACCGACACGTTGATCAAATACAATACCAGAATCCAGGTGAGTCTGTTCCAATTTCGGTTGTTAATTCTAATACTAATGAGTGCATTCTAGATAATACAGAGTCTACATCCAATACACCGTCGGACAGATGTAAGATGAACTTAAGAAGAGGACGAACAATCGATTACAGACACTTACACTCCAATTCGAGCTGTGGCGGATGTGATGTTTAAATAAATCAATGACTTCTTCGTATTGATGACTGTTGTAATTTTGAATTCCAAATACAATACATTCGTTCGAGTTCATCTGGTACTTCTTGATTAAGTTGCGTTATTCCTGGGATTACTAGTTCATACTACAATTCAAATACTTCTAATTATCATAGTAGGGCAACCCCATACAGTAGAAAAAAATCTTGCTTAAAAGCGTCAACCAGATTAATCAAATTAAACCATTTAAGCTCTGCCCTACGATTTGAAGAATCTTCACTCAAAAGAATTATGATGCCTCGTGGTGAAGCCGAGAGTTTTCGGAAGTCATTAGGCCGATACTCCTTCTAATAACAAAGGTTAGATGCGGAGAGATGCTTCTATACTCCGGTCACGAATAGGAAAATGCTCCACACACGCAGAGATTTGTTTCGATAATGTCCAAAGAAGCACGTAATGAACTTATAGGATGGGAATCTCAAAGTATCCTCCATAACAAAGAAGGAGGAAGTCACATTGAATGTTATCCAGTCTTATACACTTACCAATGACAACAACGACGACAATAAAGATCGTTTCTATGAAAGGATGCAATCAATCACAACGAAGTGCCTAAGAAAGGATCTCACCATCCTGATGGGAGATCTAAACACCCGTTTCGGAATGGACGACATCGGATATGAAGATATCATGGGACGGCATGAACTGGGAGAGAGAAACAAAAATGGCGGAGGATTTACAAAACCTATGTGCATTCAAAAATCTGGTTATAGGTGACACAATATTCCCACACAATTACATATGCAAATCTACATGGGTCCCACCACGGAGAACCAGATCGATCATATTTGCATCAGTAAAAACTCACAGGGATAATGGAAGACGTGAGAACCAGGAGAAGAGCTGACATAGCTTCAGATCACCATCTATCTGGTAGTTGTCAAGAGGAAACTGAAGCTAAAGCAGCATTGGACAACTGAACAAACAGCATAGCAAAGGTTCAATACAACCTGCCTTAGACATACTGACAACGTCAACCACAGGTTCCAAGCCTCATAGGATCCGCTGAAAGAAGTGGAGACCACTGTGGAGGACAACTGGATAGGGATCAAAGAAGCACTAATATCAACTTGCCTGGAGGTGCTGGGTCTCAAGAAACATCACCATAAGGAATGGATCTTTATGAAAACCCTGGACAAGGTTCAAGAAAGCAAGCATAAGAAGACAGGGATTAGCAGCAGTCGAACACGACTAAAAAAAGTCAGGGCACAATCAGAGCAGCATAAGCAAACAAGCAAGTGAATAAGAGCAATAAAGCCGATAAGCAGAAATACATGGAAGAACTGTCAACGACGGCGGAAAGAGCTGCAAGAGAAGGGATTATAAAACAACTATATGATATAACGAAGAAAGTAGCATGGGGATATAGTAAACCGGAGAGACCCGTTAAGGACAAAGAAGGAAAGACGATCACGGAGGAAAAGATGGGTAGAATACTTCGAGGAACTGCTGAGTAGACCAGCCCCATTGAATCCACCTGATATCGTAGCAGCATACACTGACATTTCTATATCTGTTACTGCACCAACGATCGAAGAAATCAGGATGGGCATCAGACAAATCAAGAGTAGAAAGGCAGTAGGACCTGACAAAAAATACCAGCTGAAGCACTAAGGTCAGACATAGAAGTAAATGTGAACATACTTCATAGCCTATTCAGGAATATTTGGGAGAAGGAAAAAGTGCCGAGGGACTGGAAAGAAGGATACCTCATCAGCATACAAAAGAAAGAAGGTATGTGCAAATGTAAGGACTATGGAGGCATCACACTACTATTAGTACCAGGAAAAGTTTTCAGCACAGTGTTAATGAACCGGATGAAGGACTCAGTGCACGTTCAACTTCGAGATCAACAGGATGGATTCCGTAAGGATCGGTCGTGCGCAGACCAAATGGCGATACCACAGATCAAAGTTGAATAATTAATTGAATGCAACTCGTCACTACATATCAACTTCATTGACTATTTGAAGGCGTTTGACAGTGTGGATATAAGAAGATTATGAAACTTCTTCGGTACTATGGTATACTTAAGAAGATCGTCAACATCACACATAATTCGCACAATGAACTGTACTGAAAATTGTGAATGGAGAACAGCTGAGGACAGGAATCAGACAAGGTTGTTTATGTTATAACGCGTTAGTGACCAGTTGTTATATCGATTGCCAGCGTGCCCCTTTTTGATATATGAACGTGCTGATTACCGCCAGTGAGAGAAGAGCGAATTATCGATGGTGTCAATGATGCACAAAAGCCGTGTGATCAGTTTTGAGTACGTCACGGCCCTGCTATCTGCCTAGCTCAGCCAGTTAAGTCCAGAACACTAATAACAGCCTCAGCAATATGAATCATTCTTTACAAACATACTGAGTTTATATACAAACCAAACAGACCACATCGTACCAAAAAAAATAGAAAATAACACTTGTACAATAATTGGCCAAATGTGGCTGTTAATAGGGGGAAAGTAATCGATAGACTGATGATAACTCAAGAATCGTATAATAATAGGTCAAAAGCCAAAATAAAGCTAATGATGCAACAATTATACAATAGGAAATGTACATATTACATTGGTCCATAACTAGTCCTCAGAGATACCATTCATAATTCACCAGGGGATATAACAGTTTACTCTCCCCCTTCCTCTTTCCTCTGGTGGTTGACCGGATTATAAAGACCTCGACGCCTTGGGGGAAGCACGGAATACAATGGAAAGCTTGGAGCCAATTAGAAGATTTCGACTTCGCAGCTGACCTGGCCATTCCATCGCATACATGCGAGCAAATGCAAATGAAGACGACTAGTGTACCAGCAGCCTCTGCATCAAAAGGCCTCAACAAACACAAAGGAAAAAGCAAGATCCTCAAATACAACATGGAGAGACAGATCAGCATTGCTGACGGGTGTAGGTGTTCACGATAGTTTTATTCGTACCTTTCTCAAGTTTCATGATGTGAATGTAGGACCCAATCCTTTTGTCGTCAGCAGTACGTTCGTAGAACTTCACTTTAGAATCTAGTCTCTCATGTATCGTTACTTTATCTGGTAAGCTAGTAATAATAATGATAATTTATTCTCAAATAACAGTTTGTTACGTGAGGCATGCCAGTAGTAGTGTATTCAAATATTATACAATGATGCAGCCATAATAATTTCATTTAAAATTCAGCTTGTTTGGATACCTCTAAGCAATGGCGTTTTACTGTTATTTCACCATCCATACAATACTTAATACTGACCTGTTCACCATTTAGACACTGCTACCGCACAAAACACACCAAATGTATTCGCTTCATATATTTTGTCAGTCACTACATTTGGAAGCTAGATTTATGGAACTTTCTTAAAAAAAAGATCAAAAGACGTCAATTTAACAATGGATAAGTGTTTAGTATCCCATGTAATGTGGAATCAGTCCGAACATTAAGCTAGCACGAGAGACTAGAAGTTGTGTATATCATTACTGAAGACTGACCTATTACATTTTGACTTACTTGTATGACAATCCATGTTTTCTCCAATATATCAGCTGATCAAGCTAAAACGTCAATTACCGTGGCACACTATTTGATGGTATCTCTTATCTAGGCATACAAAAGCCTCTGCACTACTGCCAAATGTACTAAATTTTCTACCGTCAAAGTTATAAGACTAATACTAGTTAACCTGGTTTCGAAAGTTGCCTTGCTTGTATTTTAAATGATTGTTAGCACTATAATACATTCATGCACTAAGCGAATAACTCGCAACTCAGAATTTAGTACTGTGAACCATAATCTTTATATGTCAATAACTCAAGTAAAAAGACTGGTTTGGTAGCTGAAGCGTTATTGACGTCAACCACAGTGTCATCGATGAAAATAAATTTTGTCATAAATTATATATCGATTTATGATGGTTATCATTTCCCAACTGACTCTTTTCTCGAACACAAATAATTGTAAGAATGTGTTGAAACTCCCCAAATAAACTTCACACTGAATAATTATGTCCATAAATACTAAATATTGACTAAAATGGTGTGGATGTAATGACAGTAATAGTTATTACATGTTTCCAGTTGTGAAACTGACGTTAAGTATGAACTCACAACCATTTCTCTCACTGAAGAACGTAAATTATGCTTCTTCGGAATTGTAGATTTACTGTGATTACTGTAAGTAAGAGCACAATCATCTTCATCCGAGACTCTATGTCGTCGGTCAATTTCGTCATTATTCTGAGTATTGGATCCAAGATAAATTCGTGTTTCAAGTCACAAATTGGTAAGTTAGATTACTGGAATGGATGCAAACCAAAATAAATAATCTACAAGACTTCAGAAACTGTACATTTTTGCACAAAACTAAATCCTTGTCATCACTCACCGGAAAATTCTCTTGTTAATGATACTGTCGGTTCACCTTTTAGTCCAGCGACTTGCAGCTTAGAGGGTTTTAACAGGAGTTTGGACTGCAAATGACAAACTATTTAGGACTAGTGAAGTCAAGTAACTATACTACCACTAATTGGACATCTCCTCAGGCTTGATGGTATACCGAAACAGAATGAGACAAGCGTAAAAAAATCAATCAATTTATACTAGATGGTTACATAGATATCAAGCATTGGATATTGAAGGCTGTGTACCACAGCAACGGTCGCCGTAGTAATTTCGAATGGATAATCACTTGGGCCCACCATCTTATAACTACTTTACCAAAGAAAAACCACAAACAACAAATCAGCAGTATGGCTTTTTCTATCGAGAAGAGAAAGGCAATGACACTGATATTCTTCGGAACAAGTCTGATTGTAATGAAATGGTAACGTCTTCGCATTCACTTAAGCACCATGGTGTACACACAAGAATTCGATCATCAAAACTGAGACCACCACTACCCAGGAAGATAACATACCACACTGCATCACCATTAGCAAAGCACAGAAAGGAATATGAAGTTGGTGACGGAAGAAAGGACCCAGATACGCGTTTAACTAGAGTTAAAGGTATTCAGCTGTGGCATGCCCATACGGGATCATTAGTTCACGTTGAACCCTAATGATTTTGGCAAAGAGGCCATTTTAATTTTGGGAGCCAGAACGATATTTTGATTTTATTCCAAGGAATATTTATGCCTAATAAATATTTACAAAACACCAATATTATATGATCGTATTTTAATAAAGGTATCTATGTTAAATTGAGCTTTAAAAAGAACTGAAAACTTCCCGCAAGTTTTTAGCGATCTTCTGCTGATGAGGGTTTGCTATTTGTGAATGTCATTCCATGACGTCCTTAAAATATGTATGACAACATGTTTTTGTAGGAAAGTGCGCGTCTCTTTTGTACAGTCCTTTGTGTGGCATGTAAAGTAAAGCATTGATGAGCTTAAAAGTCATGGCAGGCTTGGAGGTAATTTTAGTAAATTTGAGCCAATCCTGTAAAGTGTATGGAATTTCAGTCTTCAGTAATAAGGATAGGACCTATATTAATCCTTACATTTTGTTACACTATGGAGGTCCAATCTCGTTTTGAATATATCTACAGAAGGTGCTGATATTACGTATTCTGGTAGAGAATTCCAGTAGTTCACTACTCGGTTTGAGAAACGAAACTCCAGACTTAGAAGATTTGATCTCGGTTTTTGAACTTTCTTCGAATGTCCTCTCAAATGATCAGTCCTAGACGGAAGGAGAAGATAAGACATAATAATACCAAGTTCATCGTTCAGGATACGATATGCCAATATTATATCGCCCCGTATTCTGCAGTAAGATAACGGAAATAATTTGAGGTGTCTCAGTCTGTCTTCATAATATAGGCCAGATAGAACTTTTACCATTTTAGTCCCTTGGCGTTGAACTCGTTCCAACATATCCACCTCATTTTTGAAACAAGGACTCGCTGCTTGAATCCTGAATCCCAAATATGGTTGCACAAAATTTGTGTATAATAATCTAAAACTTTCTCGTCCAAATACTGGAAAGATCTAGGAATAGACCACAATACTCTATAGCCTTTTGCAGCAGCAGCCTTGCAGTGACTGATGGTTTTGAAATCATTTCTTAGTATGACTCCTAAACCTTTGGGTAGTATGAGTCCCCATATTGCGTAGTAATACGAATCATCATAATTATTTAATTGCATCATCACATTCTTATTAGGACCCATTTCTAGTGACGATCCGTCCATCCATGCCACCAATGATTTGAGGTCATCCTGTAATAATATTTTACCTGACATTCTGTATATGGGTCTCAAAACCTTTATGTCATCGGCGAAGATTCGAAAGGAGGACTTAGCTACAGTTAGTAGTTCACTTACATAAATTAAAAAGAGAAGAGGATCGAGCATTGTGCCTTGGGGGGACTCTACTCTTTACAAGTTCTCAGGATGAGAGAGCTCCATTTACTCTTACACTTTGTCTCCTGTCATCTAAAAAGTCACTTATCCAGTCTATGACTGTATAATGAATTCCAAAACTTTCCAGTTTTAATTTAAGACCAGAATGGGAAACTTCATCAAAGGCTTTACTTAGGTCTATGAAAATCACATCTACGGGACCATTTCGATTTTTGCTTCAGCCCAATCTTCTCTTGTAATGAGAAGATCTGTCAAACATGATAGACCTTTCCGAAAACATTTTGTTTTCAGGATAAAAGATTATGTCCTTCCACATAGTTTATAACAGTCATCCGAATACTTTTTCCATCAGTTTTACAACTGCACTATTTAAGCTAACGGGTCGATAGTTACTAACTAAATCTCTACTCCCAGCCTTATACACTGGACTAGTTATCGCGTCTTTCCAATCTCTGGGTAATCTGGACCGCCGCAGGGACATATCAAACAGAATCGATAAAGGTTCAGCAATTACATCTGATAGGGCTTTCGTAATCTGAGGATGAATATCATCAGGACCATTGGACTTACCAGGTTTGAGATGCTGGAGTAGTCTTAAGGCAGTATCTTTCTTAATAACTACAGTGTCCATCAACAAGCCACCACAATCACAATCGTTCCTCATCACTGATAGAAAATACTTTACTGAAATATTCCGATAAAGCTTCAGCTTTTTTGGTATTATTTCTTGCCAATATTAACGGATTTTCTTGTACCAAAAGTGATGGGATTCCATCACCTCCCTGAGTTTCCCTTTTTGTATACGAGAATAACCATTTCGAACTAAATTTACAATCCCTAACCAATTGTTTTTCGTATGACTGCCTAGTCTTACTAATTAACGCCTTACAAGCATTCCTAATCTTACAATAACTGGATCTGTACTGTTCGGAGCCCAGTAGAGATGGACATATTCCAGTGCTTTTTCCTACGTCTAAGAAGTTTCTTAACTTGTTTAGTTATCCATGGTGAACTATTACTCGGTCTACATGGCACCAGGTATGGTATGAATGTGACTGAACTAAACATAGGCTGAATGTATTTATCATTATAATAAAAATAGATGACATTAGTTTAGAATTCGCGAGTGACGTGTCCTACTATATCTCTGTAACCAAAACTGAAACTCGACCAACTTGTCTTACACATGGCTCATGCGATCCCCTTTTATAAAAATGTTTCTTCATAGCCTTTCAGCAAATATAAAGCATATTAAGATGAGACATTATAATTGGGACTGGCGAGTAACTTAGAAAAAATACGACGAATCGGGCAGGATTAGTAACGCCCCTAAAAATGGAGGTACCATTAATATCTCCGACATTAAACTTAGAGTTTACCTGTTGATAGGTGAAATTCTAGCATATATGTACTTTATCACTAGGTCAGTGGGGGACGGCGGATTACGCTTTTGTAAGGTTAGCAGTGGCATCGTTCTTACGCTGGCAATAACCTGCGAAGGGAAAAAGTGGACGTCCATCATAAATTATAAAATGAAAACAGCAAGTTGGTCAGTTGATTATCATTCCAGTTTGTACTTCCGTAAATAGCCTTTTATTTAAGGGCGTTTAGCAAGAATAATATCATGTTTTTCCTCTGAAGTTTCGACGATGGATAAATTGGCAGGACAAATGAAATCTCATCGGGTTTGTTCGGTCATATTCATGAACTTTAGACACTACGACTCTCAAAGGTGGCACAAGTTAAAGATATATTTTCACAGAAGTCTTTACTCATTTGGTAGTGTATTGAGGTAAGATCATTTATAGCTTCATGGTACAATAAGAAATAAGATGTAAGGGTATTTCGTCAGAAATATATAATAACCTGACTTCTCGCTAGGTACTCATTTCTTTGATTGAGCTAGTGAGTGCCAATGCTTTTCTAACACTGGCTTAAACAGCGTATATTATCATATCTAAGTAAGTAACTTCAACAACTATCTTTATTTAGTAATTCTGGCAGTAATAACCGTTTTCAACTGGATGGAGTAAATGCTTTCAAGTTAATAAGGTATAGCACTGTAATTACACCACACGATAAGTAACTGAATAAAGATTTACTACTCAGCCTCAAAATTTGTTCCTCTCCCAATTAATCTAATATATTTACTCCTGGCTTACAGAGTTTATTTTGTGTTCGCGAGTGAATCTTAATTCACTTGAGGGACGTGTAGCTACTGAGATTAGAAGTAGTAATATCAGTAGATAGTTAATTAACTGATCGAAGATGAATTCAGAATTATTGAAAACGACAAAGGTTTGAATACTAAGTCGTTTTGAATAAGTATGGTTATTTTTCTTTGAAACCTTTATAATATGGTATCAAATTTTTAAACATGTTGGCATTACAGAGGTACGAATTGCTATACATGTTTACATTTATTATGCAAATTAAAGGCAAAAAAGCGCAAAAAATTGAAATTCTTCAACATCTTTTGAAACTGTTAGATTAAACTACGTATTTAATGATATCGAATTTAATTTCATTCTCACTAGTATTGATGAAATTCATCTTAAATCAGGAATCAAAACGGTTTTTTTATTCTGAAGGTATTAATAAAACTGGTAAATAATATCCTTTGGTAGTGCTTTCTAAAGTTATATTCGAACTAAAGTCATACAGTGAAGAATTAAATAATAATAACATGTTGGGCATCTGTCAATGAACTTGAAAATCTGCTTTATATTTGAATACATAATAAATTCCACGCTATTTATTTCTATGACTATCAAACCTTTTGTTTCAAGCAAAGAAGCTATCAAAGTTAATCTATCTAATCAACCAAAAACATTTTAAGAGCCAAATAAAACAAGTTTAAAATGTCTTTATTAATGTAGACGTTCTTACCAACTGAAATTACTGATAAGTCTTGTTGATTGAACGCTATGTTCGGATCCTAAGCTAGTCTTGTACCCTCAAGCTAGAACTACATAGCGGGTTGAACACGAGAGAAAAGACGCAAAATATATGAGAAGCACTTTAATCCAAAGTTTCATTTGTGTACAGAATATATATGGCTTTTATAGTATTTTAAAAGTCCTTGGGTTTTCCTGAAAATTCTAGAATACTACTGAACATCTTTTATTTATTTATTTAAACACATAAATATTGGTACAAGGAAGCACCAGATAAATATGCGCCTCACAAATCTCATTCGATTTGTGTGAGGGCTGTGATACTGCCCAGGTGCCCAGACTGAAGCAGGTGGTTTTCTTAGGGGGCTACACCCGGAGCCTTTGACCTGAATATCTGATCCACAAGGCAGTGGAGCAACGTCAGGAGATGCAATTGCACGGTAGTCGGTGATCAATGATTGATTCGTACGCCATTTGTTCCCTCAGGATACTGGAGCCCATGTGCACCACTGGTTTGGAATCAGGGTTTTCCAACTCCCCTAGGTGAATCCTCCACATCCACCAACCCGGTTAAAGCGCCGGACATTCGCTTCTCGTCCTCTCACTTTCGTAAACAACACCCCCGCCACGAGAAGGCAGTGAGTAGGACTTCCCTGTCAGAGGCTATATATTCGCTGGCCATATGAGAGCATTTCGAGAGGGAGAGCTGACTCTTCCCACTCTCGGCCGTACCAGGGCATTCGGGGGCAAGTCTAGTGTCTACTACTAAACATAGTAGCGGTGTAGTAATCAGCCAATCAGAACCTCTACATGTGACTTTTTATTTTCGCGATATTTCTAGCAAAACTTCTAATCGAACGCTGACTGGATAAAATGCTTCTTAAGGATCGCCCCAACAATTACTCAGGTGGATTTTGTTGC